TACATTTATTCATCATTCTTGCATTAATCTCTAGACAAAAACATTTATGTTAGAGAGCAAAATAACAATGTAATATTAAAGGAGGGAGCGTGGGGATTCTTTTATTAGCATTTGAAAATGTTTCTAAAAATTTTGTTTAATTATAAACTCTATTAAATGTGTCAAACCAGAATGTTAAGTATTGTAAACTGATAACATTTGATGACAGCTTAATACATTTGATGACAGCTTAGTTGGACTGTTGTTTTGAACAGAGTTTATACAGAAATACACGACCAGGATTTAATTCAATATTTCCCGACACCATTAGTTTCCTTTGGTATTGTTCATTGGCAATATTGGCTGCTATGTTTTGACTGTTTAAAATATTAGAGAAGTCACAGAAGGATTGTTTTACTGTATAAATCTTTTTGTGAACTATGTTGACAAATGGTTTAAAATATCCTCGAAAATATCCAATATTTTATACAGTGTAATATATTAATAAAAAATTCCAGAGTGCATTTCATGTACACAGTCTCTACGCCGAAGATAAGGCAATATTAACTATAGATAGTATAGTAATTTGCCGAACTCATATATTATTAAAATATGTGGGATATATATTTGCACAAATTTGGTATTTAAATTTATAATATATGGTATTTGACTTCTTACCAGATGAGGATCAGATTCCATGTTGATAAATAACTTCGGAATAATATCGCAAGTAGAGAAAACAAGACATCAAATTCAAGATAAATTGATAAAATATCAAGATATTTTTGAAAGAATAACACGATTTATACACGAGGCCTGACGAGGCTAAAGTATGCCCGTTCGCAGGTTAGATGTGGGCACAATGTAAACAATTGATGTAAACTGATCGCTGATTGGCTTAAATTGGCATAAATTGGCTGAATTATATAAGCCCGTCGCTGAATGGCTAGGGACACGGTACGGTACGTTTGCGATAGCAATATATCTGCTTCGCAGATACAAAAAGTATAGCCAATAGCGATTCACTATTTGAAAAGTAGTCAACTATTTGGCTACTTTTAGGCAAAATGTAACTCGCTATAACTACAGCTCCTGTTTTAAAAAAGTTGTCGAAACCACTAGCTACTTGAAAATTGTAGTTCGCTACAGTAGCAAACTACAAATACTTCGCTACTACCTACCCTTTATAAATAGCCAACCTGAAGTCGATAATTTATTGGACTCAACCTAATTTGAGTCATTCCGTTTATCCATGGATCTATTTGTGCTCGGTAATCTTTCACCTTAACTGGATCTCCTGTTTCAAACTTTGGCAATGCAGATTGTGATAGGTCATTCGATATCCTTGCCATCTTAGCCGACAAACTGGGATGTAATAAGTCAAGTGTGGTTTGGTGTCTTCTTCTCATCAGCATTTCAGCGGGTGTACAACCAGTAGCGGTATGTGGAGTCGCCCGATACCCCAATAGGAAACGTGTTAATTTCTCTCCAGTAGATCGTTCTTTATTCTTACGAATATTCATGGCCTTTTTTAACCTTCTCACTTTCTGTTTATTTATTCGAAGCTGCATGATATTGTGATAATAGGCAATGTCGAATTCCGTTAAACTTCGTTCAGTTTTTCCTTTCTTGCGGCACACATCATCCGAGACAATCTCTTCAGGCAGACCATGAACGGAAATCAGGAAACGTAACTCTCAAATCGTTGCATCGGTGGTAGTTGATGACATAGATATGACTTCAATTCATCTCGGCATGGCATCTACCACTAACAAATACATCACACCAACGTAACACGAAAAAATCTATATTAATTATTTGTCACGGGCATACCGGCCATATCCGCGGATTACTCACTTTCAAAGGGGATGTGCAGCGGTTAGCTTAATAACTGGTGCAAACTTTTACTCTCTGTTCAATATCTTAATTCATCCATTGTAAACCACCGCGCACGTAGACGTGCTAATGACTTCATTCGCACAATTCCTGGAGGATTAAAATGTAACTCCGCCAACAGCTGTCCTTGATATCTGTTTGGAATCGCCACTCTAGTTCCTCTCAGAAGACAGCCTTCTCCTACAATAAGCTCGTCTTGTTTCGTAAAGAAACAATAAAGGTATACCGAATGGTTTTCCGTGCAGGATTGCGTGATCCATGCACACGGGATGTTGCGAGACTTTCGGAAACGTGAAAATACACGATCCATAGGCGATTGTATTTTTACGCTTTCCGAAAGTCCACCAACATCCCAAGTGCATGGATCATGCTATTCTGCACGGGAAAACCATTTGGTAATTGTTTTATAAAATTACTACAGTGAAACGACGGCTAACTTGATTAAAATTACTGATGAAATGTGCAGTTCTCACAACAATCGTGAATTAACCAATCGGAGAATCGCTACTCCACGCTATTGAAAACGACAACAAATGTGAACAGAATTTGATCGCAAATTCGCGAATATATACAGCGAAAATACAGAGACTTTTTCGATAAAATATGCGAAATTTGAAATGGAAAACCCGCTAAACAGAGAGCCAAAGTATAGTTTTGAAGATTCTTGACCTGAATACTTGAAGATTGCGAAGCGTTTGAACTTTGAAGCGAGAGATGTTGTATTGGCACTTGCCATGGTCTGATGAATTCCAACGCTACCCGTTGCTACTTGCTGGACAGCAATGTAGTCATACAACTAAACCAACGACTCAATAATTACAAACTTACTTCAAAGTCGAAAGGTATATGGTACAATGAAACTTTACAATGCGAGTTTATTTGTAAAATTATGTGCAAGAATTTCTGTTTCGTCCACACATCGGGGGAGACCGATCGTTAACAAAATGAAACGAAGACTCTGCCATATAACGCGCGGTTCTCGGGTATATTCTGCGGTTCTCAGATATGGCTGAAATAAGGCAAGAATACGACTCGGAAAGCATCGATGTGGACATTTTAGATGATTTCCTTCACAATTAAGTATTGAGGGTATGTTAAATGAATTTTATACAATATTTATGTCGCATTTGCCGGTATTGACGGCATGTTTTACATATCTGTATAGCGACAGTATACGTCATAGTATCATGGCTTTGTTATTGTTTTTATCTCTCCCAAAATCAACAAATAACGTTTAAAATACCGTATTTGGTACATTGCTAGTAAGAATTATATAAAAGCAGCAAGGATTCACAAAGGATGGCTTAAATATACGACGGATTTATACAAAAGTCGTTTGGTTGTAGTCGGCGCCCATAAAATGGCCGCCAGTATTGACTATTGTAGTGTGACACCTATCCTTTAATATTTAGATTGAAGATTCTAAGCAGTGTATCCTATATTAACGTGGTTTCTTGCACGTCGCTTGGTGGAATTAATTTAAGAATGTTAGGGTTTGTAATCCAAGTGATTATTTACATTTTAAGACCTGACCAGGAACGACTGCGAAAAATGCAGCTCAAGGTCCTCTGGGAGGAATTGAATATACGGCCCTGCGATTCCGGTGCAGCGCTCTAACCACCTGAGCTACAGTGACCAGCCACCAGAGGACCTTGTGCTGCATTTTTCGCAGTCGTTCCTGGTCAGGTCTTAAAATGTATATATAATCACTTGGATTACAAACCCTAACATTCTAATATTAATTCCACCAAGTGAAGTGCAAGAAACCACGTCATTCAAGTCCACGTTATCACAATCCGCACACCCGATTGCCTATATATACATGAACTAACGGTTACAGCTCAACAGCTGGTCTCTGTAGCTCAGTTGGTAAGAGCGCTGCACCTGAATCGCAGGGCCGTAGGTTCAATTCCTACCAGAGGACCTTGTGCTGCATTTTTCGCTGTCGTTCCTGGTCTGGTCTTAAAATGTATATAATCACTTGGATTACAAACCCTAACATTCTAATATCCTATATTAAATATACTTCATATCTAGATGAAGAAGATAGATGTTATCTAATGGCAAGTACGCCCCAAAAGGATGACAAGAAATGAATGAGCGTGTTTGAAGTGTCCAAACGCCAAAGCGAACCTGGTCCAAAAAGGCTTTACATATCAACAGTTGACACAGGTTTGTTCTTAGTTAATACTGAGCAGTCTCTCTCAATGTGCATATTTTTGTAGTGATATATCTAATCTAGAAATAGTCTTAGACTAAATTAAATTTTGGAATTCAAGGCTGCATGAGCACTAGTTCCAAATACTAATAAGCTCACGAAGTTTCTCTTTCGCACAATAACAGTATGACGAGAATTGGAGAATATGTAATTATAAAATTATGTTTATTAAATGTTGTATCAATACACTGTTGGCCACTAAGCTAGGTTCGGTATGCTTGGCTGCTCGCCCAACACATCCCCCCGCCCCCCTTAGAGAAATCGCGCTGTATCCACCACTGGGCCTTTTAACAAATGAATGTATTTGAATTATTTGGATTATACAATGTTGATGCAATATCGATTGTGATGGCTAAGAACTACAGACAATCTTCAATGTCTATCCACCTAAAACAACATTGAAAATTGCCTGTTGGTGACGTAATATTTTAATGAGACACCTGACAGGGTTTTCTTCCCTCCATTATAATAACATCATAATTGCATAATAAAACAATTGAATAATAAAACAATGAATTTGGGTTTCGCATGATATCAAGACCGGTCAATGTAATCTGCCGAAGCCAAAGGTTGATGTCTCGATAATTCTTGATATCATGCTCATTCTGGCCCAATATGTAATTGTTAAATGTTTTTACAATTGTATCCCATTTTTTGTTTCTGCATCTTGCTCTTTCTATTTTACAAATAGAGCTTGACACAAACTTGCTATCCACTCAAGTATATTTTTGTATAAAGTATCCAATCAAAATGTTCACTCAGGGAGAAATGTTAATTCCATATAAAAACAACAATCTAATTAAATTTACAACTGCTAAATATATAATATTAGTATTGTAATAGTATTATATAATTAGGATTAACCAATCACAAAGATACATTAAATATGGTCTGATATAGTTGTGCTAGAAATAGCCAGCCAGAGCTACGTCCAATATTTTGCACTTATATAATATGTCAGATTGGATAACTCCTGTTTTTTTAAATTTCTGTAGATATACCTAATGAATCAACTCAAGCAGATGCCTTTGTTTTGGCAGCCAGTTGGGAACGCAACAATGGTATCTTTTCTGGATACAAGAGCTTCAATAGCATCAAATTGTTCTGGTCTAAACTTTCGATGTCAAAATACATTTTTTAAATTTTCTAGACTTGTCATATTATTTGAAAAGCTCTGGTTTGCACAACTTTGCAGCACCGTCCATTCTAATTCTTTTTGGAGTTGTAAGCAATGTTCCACTTTCAACAGTTTCTCAGCGACTTTTGGTAGTAACAGTAATGGCATCATTGGAACAAATAATATCATTGCCAAATTACACTTTGTATTCTGTGTACATTAGTTCATGCTAGATTGACACATCATCCGTGGAATTATTGTGTAGAATAATTAGGATAAATCTAATTAATTATTATTGTTATTGTTTTTTGTTGTTTTAAAATTTCCAAATTGAAAGTTTTAAACTCATTTTTGGGTCGTTCCAGAAAAGATCCACATTCTCCCATTGAGGAAATTTTCGCCTTCTGGAGGGGGAGGGGAGACAATATTGTTTGTGATAATAGTAAATGTATTAGGGCATCCAAAGGGGGTAGGGGGTTAACTTTCAATTTCCTCCGTGGGGGTGGTATGGATGTTTTCTGGAATGACCCATTAGCTTTGCCATGATAAATACATCAAATAAACAGACAGACATATAAAGTACAAGTGGCAGGGTTACCGCAACAGAATTT